AAGTCTATTAAGTAGAAGCGGTGTTTCATGGAAATCCTGGTAACTGCTTTTTCTCAGGGTAAAGTATGCAGATGTGGTAGCGTTCCTCACCAGGAGAAAAGCACTACCATGGCTTTTGTACTCCGTTCTGTCCTCCTGTCTCTCTCAAACTCTCTTTCCCCCCATCCCTTTTGCTTTTCATTCCTTTCAACACCTTTGCTGCTGTCTGGTTCCACAGCCACCGTCATCGTCTTCTTCCAGTTACACAACATGTACCAACGCTCGATCAGTTGTTGATTGTGGCTTTTTCTTTCTCAGATTCATCATCAGTGATGATGAATTGCTTAAGCAATTGTTTCCAAACTAACATACTGTGTAAGGAAGCTTGCAATGATGCGTCTATTCCCATGTGGATGAATTCTAATGTTCATTTCCAAGGCTGCTAGTCGTTTTGAATATGGTAGCTGTTAAAATTTATAGTGCCTGCTTTGGAAAGACTTCTTGAGACAAAGATAAAATTAAATATTATATAGTGAGACTGTGTTTTGATAGAAAGGGTGTGCTCCTGCGTTTAACGGTGGGAATGGACAGACGTTCATAAAACAAGTTTCTGTCCATCTGTAATTTAATTGATTATCTTATTCCAATCCATGACTGCAAACACTTTTCTTGTGGTGCTGTACCAGTTAACCTGAAGAGCACTGCCGTGCGTTTTGTCCTGGGGTCCTCTGAGCAGATTCTGGTGTTGTACTGCTGATGAGTGGTGACAGGCTGTGATCTGTGGGGTTTGTTGGCTGTGTAAACTGAGCGCCAGCTGGAAACAAGCAGTAAAGCCCACATGATGCAACGGGCCGCTGTGCTGTAGATACCAGCAAATGCACTGAGAACCGCAGATTGGGAGCGCCTGATACGGGGTTCAGTCCGATATTGGATGCCGAGGCTTGCGTACGCAACGAGTACAGGATGAGGCATAAATACACAGAAGCATATGGATGTGTTTTCCCAGCTCTTCAAATCAGCTACTGTTCAGCAAAAAGATGAGCATCCCCGAAATTCATTCCTTCCATACCTTAGTGCAGGTTCAGGCTTGACTTTGGGAAGCTTTTCTTTCATCTCAAACTTGTCATTCTCAGAAATGACTCATCTTTTATGTGGTGTGACTGGAAGTTTCTGTTTTTATAGTCTAGATCAGGTTACAAAGAAACCTCCTATTCCAAGCCTATGGAGACTATCCAGCGCTGACAGTATAGCCTATGCATGCAGCAGGGACTGGAATTATTGTCCGCATTACCACAGAATAATATTATGGTGCAGCTGTTCTGTGTATTTGGGATTTTGGGAGGATCAGCAAGTGAATGGAATTTGCTGGCTAGCTCATTCCTCAAAATACAATTTCATATACATTTTTGTCAGCAAATAATTGATGTGATCTGACAATATTTTCCTCAGGAAATAGCATGAAGAGATGAGCTCTGGGATAGGCATCAGGAATTGTCTATGTTTTGGCCTTCTAAATTACTGTTTTCCTCTGCAGGTTCAAGACATCCATCTCAGTTACCTGAAGCAGAAGCACACTCCTGTCCGAGCTCTCCTGCCTTTAGAACGGGCAGTGAACCTTCTCTGAGCCCCACAGTTGTTCAGAAAGTGACCTCTGAGTCGCAAGCAGGGGAAGCTCTTAGGGGATCCGACAGTCAGCTCTGCCCAAAGCCTCCACCTAAACCCAGCAAAGCACCCCTGATGAAGCCCCCAGATTCTCCTTCGGCTTCCCACAGTTCAGAAGGACACTACTGTGAACTGAGCCCTGCCAGAGATCCTGCAGCAACAAAACATTTATGTCAGAAAAACAGCTATGTGGAACATCTGACGCAAAAGGAGAGGGGAGCACACACATTCAGGAACTCTGACACAAGCTATTTGATCCTGGAAGATGACCCTCCAATGAACTCTGCAGATCCTTTAGAAGCTTCAACTGAGATGGCTGAAGAAGACAGCATCTTTTCTGCACCCGTTTTTGAGACGGTGTCTAGTTTTAAACCAAATGATTTTGAATCCAAACTACTTCCTCCTGAAAACAGGCCATTGGAACCATCAATGTTAAGAAGAGTTAAGGAGCTTTTCACCAATAACAATCCAAAGATTATTGCGCAGCATATTCTCAACATGGACTGCAAGGTAAAAAAAATAAATAATTTTCTTGCATTTTATTTTATATTGTGCAAGTTTAGACTTTTTAAAGAACTGATTTGAAAAGATTAATGGGTAGATTTGCAGCTAGTGTAACCAATGTATTGACTTGCTTGCAGGAGTTTTAGGGTGGGTTTTTATTTCTTCATTTGAAGAACATTAACAAAGCCTTTGGACTAAAGGTCTCCCACCATCCTTGACTTTAGACTCAAATTCTCAACGTTTCATACATCTTTTTAATCTTCTGTTGGTCGCTGTGTATCTGTGGCTCAGCCTTTCTTCTACACTGGAGGAAGAGCGAGCTGTCTACACTGTAAACCACTGTGGAAAGACCTGCTGGTGACAGGAACTAGCTGGTGAGCTTGCAAGGGCAGAGTGAGCGACCTGGTTGCCGTACTGCTGGCTGTAATGCAAGATGCTCAGGGGAACTTTTAAAACTGGCTGCTCCTCTCACCTTCGTCTGAGTGTCTGTCTTACAGCTGGGTAGGCGGTGTGGAAAACTAGCTACCAGGACTCGTGCATTTCTCTCCTGTGAGAGAACTGTATCGCCAGTGGAATTGTTCAGAAAGATGTAAACCCACGAAGAACCGTTTGTCACAATGTAGGCTTCGTTCAGCTCACAGAGCTATTGGATCAGAAGTACGGAAAGACAGGAGAAGTCATCTCCTTATGAGGTGATGACTTTGGGTAATAAAAGCAGCACAACTGCAGTTGACTCTGCACCACTTTACTGGGACAACTGCGTGCTGTACCTGCCATGTAGCAGCTACAGGAACTAAATGTCACGGGCTGTGTTGGTTTTTGGTTGTTTAAGAGCAGCTTGAGAAGCAACACACGTGGCTGCTTACCAGGCAACTCCCTTGTGGACAGGAAAGGCAGTGGGAATGGTGGTGCTCCAGCAGAAATGCATCTGCAGCACCGATTCACACTGTGGGTCTGGGAAGGGCGGCAGCTCACCGGAGCAGCAGAGGGATGAGTGTGTGCGGGCGCCTGCCCACTGCTGGGGCCCTGCCAACACCAAACACAGCTTCTCCCCTCTGTAGCAGCGTTGGCTGCTGCGAAGTGAGGCTTCAGGCAGACGTGGTGACTCAGAAAAACTCGGCTCCAACTGCTTGGTCTTTTCAGAAGTGATAGACTGCGGCTTCTTTACTATGGTTCCAAGAGTAGTACCAGCATTCTCTAGCGTTTTAGTTCCGCAATTCCCCTTTTCCTCCTTCAACCTAATAACAATAACCAGAATGTCTTTTAATATATTGTTAAAGAGTATGTTGCGAGAAGGCGTAGGATATGCGCGTCTTAGAAAAGTAGCAAGGGTGGTTTTATATATAACATTCAGTTAGCTCATAATTGGTCTCATTTTAAACCCTATAAGCTTTGGAATGGGGCCGAGGAAACCAGCCTGCTGGAAGTGTGGGAGCCTGTACAATTAATTAAGAGTCACTGAAGTGTTTTTACAGAAACAGATTTTTTGGATTTTGGAGCAGGAACAGCAACTAGCTGGGACAGGTAGAGAAGCCTATTTTATCTCCACCTTGCAGCGCCGAGAGCCAATGACTGCCATTTGTTGGTAGCTTGTTGCGTACTACTGAGCTGATAAGAACTGCATGACACAGTGAGATTGGCAGCGACCTGGGCCAGAATAAATGCTTTGTACTGTGATCTGCGATAGGGCTGAAGTTCGTAGGTCTTCTTATGGAGTGAGTGGCTCGGTTTGAGTTTTAAATAATGACACTTCTAATAACGAAAGAAGCACTCGTACGCTAAGTGACGGAGCGAATAGCGGCCGCTTGCATGGCTGAGAGGGCTTTTTGTGACGGCGTAGCAATCGGTGTGTCTCCAGGGGCTTCGTATCGCCCCAGCGTCTCCGGAAGTGAAACAGGTTTCTCTAGTGCTCGATTTTGTACCAGTGAGGCCTGTTGTGTGGCCCAGATGGCTTTCATCTCTTCACAACCAAGAAAGCCTGCTGACGGGTGTATCGGGAAAACAGCAGGCAGATTGGTTTGTAAATGTGTCAACATACAGGCCTTAAACCAGCTGATAATCTCACATTATCATATTAATGTGGGTTTGCTTTTAATTAGCACATGTAATTGTTATTGATATAACCAGTAGCTAATACCGTCTGTTTAAAAAGCAAAGACAAATTGGTGAGGGTGTCAGCTTTCATACACTGGCTTCATTAGGCACTCGACAATCGTGGTCCTCCTTAAAGTCCTTTTACTAATTAATCCTTATGAGGACCCTGTCGTGTAATCCAGACACGTACTGAGCTGTTGGCTTTTTAGAAATCAGAAGGCAAAGCAAATGGGTCCATCTTAAAGGCCAAAGAGCAGTGCCACCCCGACAAGGGTCAGGCCAAGAGAGCACCGCGTTTCCAGGAGCTTGCCTATCAATCTTTCTGGAAGTGGAGGACAGAAGCTTGATGAAGCATTTTGGTCACATTTTTTTATATGTTTTCTGATGGCTGAAGCATGCAACAGAAACATTCTATTGGTGGCCTTTGTGTAAGGCACCGACTGTGCCTAAGTTAATTCAGGTTTTTTTCTTAGATGACGGTATTTTAACATTGCACACCAGCTCTGTATGCCCTGCACTAACTTGGAGGACTTCTACCTGGCTAAGGTTGGCTTGGGTTTTTTTTTTTGTCAGTCAAGTCAGTTTCAAAACTCACACATGGATTTTTTGCACTTGCCAGGTGGCGAGGATACTAGAAGTTTCTGAAGAGACGAGGAGGATTATGGGAGTGAACTCTGGTCTTGAACTGATTACCTTGCCTTACGGACATCAACTGCGCCTTGACCTAATTGAAAGGTAAATGTTCCTGTTAATTATTTCCAGGGCAGATGGCCAGAAGATCAGATCATTGCTACGTTGTACTCTACATTTCCTCAAAGAATGCTCTCCTGCACATTTTCTGAATTCACGTGTGCAGGAGATAATGTGGCGAGATGGTGTAGAACTTTTTTGCATTGGAAAAATTCCTTAAGGCCATGGGGCAACTCTGTGCATGTAGTACAGGGAAAGGGGAGTTGCACTGGAAGCGGGGTCCCCGGAGCTGCTGAATGACACCCTCAGCTCCCCTTTGGGAGCCCGGGTAAGCTGAAGGTCAGGTGACCAATCATCAGTGGTTGTGGAAGAGACGGAAGGTGGGCAGCGGCCTTCTGCAACGGGGGAAGAGGCTGGAGGGTCTAGTGAAGTAAAAAAACGATCAGCAAAGCTTTCTGTAAAACCTCTGCACCAGTTAAGGGGGAACAGCTAGGGCCTTCCTGCCCTGACCTAGCTTGTCTGCTTCTTGGATTCAGATTTCAATAGTTTGGTTGCTGAAGTTTAGGGGGAAGGTCCCAGGATTTGAGTGAGTGTGGAGGACAAAGAGAATTGGGGTAGTTTGCTTGAGCAGAATTTTGTAGAGTAGTTGTTATCTTAGGAAAATCTATTAAATTCATTAAAATGCAAATTCAAAGCCAATGTATATGTATTGCATGTAATGGCATCACTGCTTTTGATCAGATGTTGGTAGGAGTCAGTTTGCATTATTGCCAGGATACTGAAATGTACCTTTGAATGGATCTTCTTGGGTCACACGTACAGCATAATGTATTATTAATTTAATAACTGGTAACCAGTAGTATAAATTGTTTCACTTGCAGGCACAATACCATGGCAATAGGAATAGCTGTGGATATCCTGGGTTGCACGGTAAATCTAGAAGACAGAGCAGCAACATTGAACAGGATCATCCAAGTCGCAGTGGAGCTGAAGGACTCCCTGGGGGATTTGTATGCGTTTTCTGCCATTATGAAAGCACTGGAAATGCCACAGGTAAAAACCTGTTTCCTTGTGTTCCAAATAGTGGAGTTGTTTGGTGGTTTATTTAATTTAATTTACGGAATTTCTTCAAGACTAGAGAGATCATCAGCAGAGAAACTCTGCCACTAGCAATGTACTTTCCCGGGCAGTTGCTATGGAGTCAGTAATGGGTGTTCTTTGCTTGAACAGGTCACCAGGTTAGAACAAACCTGGACCTCTCTGAGACATCGTTACACCCAGACTGCCATTACCTACGAAAAACAGCTGAAGCCGTTCAGCAAAGCTTTGCATGAAGGCCAAGAGGAGTGGAACAGTGAGTATGAGTGGCACCGTTTTCTCTGTAGCCCTTTAACTCTCCTGCTACCACAGGGCTGTGTAGGGACGTTAAAATGACTACGTGAACTTGTCTAGGGCAGTACAGGACACTGAAATGGAAGGAAACAGTCTGCCAGCCAACCATTGGAACGTGCTTGTGTGCATGTACCCGTGCCGAATGTGACATTCTGCCCAAATCCATACTCCCTTTGTGGAGCACAAACTGAAACTCGATGCATCACCTTGCCTCAAAGACAGGAAAAAAAACCCCACAAACCTCTCTCTTCCTCAGAGGGGAGTTACTTCTGGCAGATTTTGCTTTTTATTTGTTTTGCCTCAATGATGAATCCTCAAATACAAAGAATGGGTTAGTCAGGTAATTCCTCTGATCACCTCAGGTGCTCCTGCATCAGATTCTCTGCAGCTCTCATCTGCCAAGGGGTGCAAGGGGGAGGTTACGTTTCACTGACCCTTTCTCTAAGAGAATGGGTAGAGAAGGAAAACTTCAGCCTCACAGAACTTATTGGAATGACCCAGATCTTAAATATGTGTAATGTCTCTGTGCCACCAGCTAATAATTCAGCAGAGCCTTCTCCTGTAGCAAATACAGTGTTCCAACACTAATTTGTCTTGGCCTTCTCGCTCAACCAGTTCACTGGGAACTGGGAGGACGGGTGTATCTTGAGGTAAGGTGCTAATTTAAAAGATGAAGACAGAGAGTAGTGTCTGACTTTTTGAAAAGAAGACTGCAGTTACAGTACCTTCTGCAGTGAGCAGGTTTTATCATGGCTGACGAGATGACCCATTTGTTACTCTCTATCCCAGAGACCGTCAGTGCCCAACAGAACAACGTAACGGTGCCTCTGCTGATGCCTCTCGTGACGTTGATGGAGCGACAAGCCGTCACATTTGAAGGCACGGACCTGTGGGAATGCAATGACCAAAGCTCCGAAATAATGCTCAGGCACTTGGCCACAGCTCGTCAGATGGCCCAGAATGCAGGAATGTACAGCTCGACTGCGGAGCGGCTGCTGGAAGGTAGGGAGCACCAGCAGGAGAGACTGCTGCACGTTCACAGAGTGGGTGGGTTATGGCTGAGGATGAAGGTCTCCGCTCAAAGTTAGAGCAAGAAATTCTTCTCTTTCCTGGGAGCCGAGATCGTAGCAAATGTCCTGCAGGAAACTCAGGCCGAGGACAACATCAATATTGTTTAACAGCTGACAGGAAATTAATTCATGGTGATAGTTCTCCAGTAAGCAACAGAGCGTACATTTTTGCTAAACTTAGGCAGAGTTCTCATGACTTAATACTCTGCCCCTTCTACCAACTGAATAGAAGTACAGTGAGGGCCGAGGGTAACTTCCTGTCTTCTGTACAATTTGAAATTCCTGCTCTGATTTTTGCGAATAAACCACCACCCTTCACAGTAAGATCCTCTACAGCAGCGCAAGATGCAACAGTGAGATCTTGACCGCTTGCAGCCAGAAAGCAGCAGCATGTGAATCACGTGCTTTAGATTTTAAACTTGCAGTGAAAAAGGGAGGGGAGAGAAATATAAGTAAGTATTTTCTGCAGCGCTTCAGCACGTGTACATCAATAACTATGTTTAAGGTCAGCCTATAAGGACGGTTCTAGACCATTAGAATTGAGCAAAGGATTGAGCATCCCTGGAGCCATTTGCTGCTACCGGAATGTCACAGATGGATAGGATTTTTCACTGTTCTAACTCGCTTGTTAAAATGATTGTGCAAAAGGAACCCAGCGCTCATCTTACTGGGAGGGAATGCAGTTTAAAAGCTGTTTCTTCTGAAAGAAAAACTTGCCTGATGGCGATCCTGTGGGGTTCTTTTTCCTTACTAGGTTTCCAGCCTGATGAAGAGATGAGTGAAATCTTCAAGACGGAATTTCAAATGCGATTGCTCTGGGGCAGCAAAGGAGCGCAAGTTGATCAAAATGAAAGATATGAGAAATTCAGCCGGATTTTAACTGCACTTTCCCGGAAACTGGAACCTCCTCCAGTGAAGCAGGTGGAACAATTAAGCATCTAAGACTCCCTAAACACTCTTTAAATGATATACTTGAAATAACCTTAGCTTTCTTTTGGCAATTTGATACTGCACAAACTTCTTGCATTTCACAAGATGTTTAGAACTTTTAACTGCACAGTGCACACTTGTTGTTTTAAAACTACTGATTTCTAAACCAATTATTTATTTACTGTGTCACCAAGTCATTTAAGGGTCCCTTCAAGCAGTCAGGTTATCCCTGTAGGATGGCCCTACCACGTTCTCCATCTCCCCAGCATCACGATGTTTTGATAATGCCTAGGAGTAAGGGCATTGGCATCTTAATATTAAAATGAAGCAAATAGTGTAAATAAAACGATAGATTAAGTATGTGACATTGCAGAAAATGTGCTGTACAATATTCCTTTAATGAATATAAACCACTGTACATAGAATTGTGAATTAAAGTGTATCCTTATGCAAAATAATTTGCAGATTTGCAGGTTGCAGAAATGATCCTTTATCTGTGACCACCACAGAAGGCTCCAACGGCACTGCACCAATGAACGCAGAAAATCAGTGGTGTATGTGTTGGGAACAACTTACTGGGTTTTTTAAGACAGCATCTGTAGTAGTTTGGCTTTTGCTGGAACCTGCACAACAGCTACGCTGCCAGGAATGAATGATGAAATGGCAAGAACAAACAATCCAGATTCATTAAAATGCTTTCAGATATGAGTAAGTGTGGGTGTATGTATGTATGTAAACTCATTTCATTTACTGCAGTGAATCACTTTGGTAAGTAGTAGTTTTTTTTTTTTTCCTAGGATGAAGGCAAAGCATACGCTGTTAGCACTTTTACTAGGAAATGAGTGTGCACGGTGCCTCAGCAGCAAACTCTGCTTTGTCATTTATGGAATTGGCATATAAGCAGCATCCTCAGAAATTGTATAAATATTTAAGCAAGAGCTATGGTTAGAGCTGCATGTGCTCCTTGTCAGTAAGCCCATTTCTGGAGCGTGATGTTACAGCCTTTGAACAAAACTAAAACCAGCATGGCATTATCTGTTCCCGCCCCCTACAATCACAGCAGAGGTTCCACCACCGTAACGAGAGGTTGTAGACCTCGTGCTGAAAGTCTCCCTGTCAATCTTAACAGAAAACAAAGGGGGAAGCTAATTACTTAGACCATGAAAAGATTTTTTTATTCCATGAAAATATTCTCAACAGAGAACACTATTTTTAAACAAAGCATTTAACATTTAGGAAATCAACATGTGCACAAAAAAGGATTAAAAATTACTGGAAAATGTAAGATTCTTTAAGACAACTCACGTTCAGAATTTTAGAATAAGTGATTTATAACTAGCTGTGCAAGTACAAATGTTTTTTTCCTATGCTTAATAACCCTCATACAAGTTGCACTATCCCTCATGAAAGCAACCTGCCTCCAAAGGAAGCAAATCCTGGCTTTAGGAAAACAAACAGTAGCGTGAAAAGAACATTTAGTCCTTTACCAGGAAGTGTTATTACTGACCTGCAAGGCTGTTAAGCCAGGCAAACCACAGGCCCTTTAGCAGAAAATACACAGATCACGTTTCCTCCTTTTCTCTAACTTCAAAATAAAAAAGCACTAGATTCGGAAAAAAAAACCAAAACCAAAACAAAAGAACAAACACAAGCCCAAGAAACCCCCCAGAACCCCCCGAAAACTACCTAAGTAGTTTTGTCAGTATTGAGTACTGTCACATTATTATATAAATAACCCTGTATACAAGCTCCAAAAATCTAAACTTTAGAGTTTAATAGCCCCCATAATACGCTAAGGTCAAGCTGTGTAATAGTGGTATACATAACGAAAGGAATAAACCTCTACACAAGTCACTCAAATTCAGTTTTACTGGTAGTACAGTTCCTAATAACACTGAAATTAAAAAAGAATCCAGCACTGCTGCATCCAAATATTGCTTCAGACCCCAGAAAAACAGGATGCTTTGATAATTATTTCATTTCCCCGGACAGCAGGTGGCTGGCTTGCCAAGCTTGCTTTGATACAAGTATCCCTCCCCCCGACAGCTCTACTCTAATCCTTACCACCCTAATAAATCAGATATGATGTATTTATTTAAAGAGAACCACAAATGGGAGGCAAGACAACATAAGCAATAGGGGCACTGCAGACAACTATATTTACACGTATAAACATATCCAAATTTCAATTGTTTACAAGTAAAAGTGCACATAGATCATTACGAAGTATCACTCAAATTCCAACCGGTCCATACAATGAAGCATCACCTGGAAATGGACTAGCACTGCAGTAATTAAAATTGGAACTTCATAGCCAAAAACTAAAAGACAGTTTCCATAAAAATATTTTTAAAAAAATATTGAAGTCAAATGAAGAGATACACGTTTCAATGTATAAAATTCATGATGCACCATGTATCCAGTAAAGTAGAGCTCTAGAAAAAACACCTACCGTGGCTACCTCAGCAGCTGCAGCACTGTGGAAAGAGCCGAGACACAAAGCCCTTTGGGGGATACTGTGGTGGTGTTGGCAAACAACAGATTTAGGCACTCTAGTTTAAGGCAGCATTTGAATGGCAAGTGGTTGACTTCTGAAAACAGTCATTAGCTTGCAGCGGTGAATCTCTCTGGTGGTGTTCCAGGTTTTCAGTGCTCACAACAGGTTACCGAAGTGCTGAAGATGGACCACAGTTCTAGGAGTTTCTCTCGATTGCATTGTAGGCTAGAGCTGAGATGCGTTATTATTTCCCCAAATCAACACAAATACAGTATGGTCTCTTATCAATCAGTTATGCCAAAAAACTGGAATGTAATGATGGTTGCAGTGGTAATAGTTATAGCAGCATACATGGATACTGGGATGAAACTCTAGTGCTGAAGATATTTAAACAAAATGATTTGTTACAAAATAAGACAAGCAACGATGGCGAAGTGTTACGCAGACATGCCCGAGTGTCCTAGGCATGCAGGAGGAGGTTAAGGGCGAGCATGGAGGTGGCACAGGCAGACTGATAACTGACACATGGTTCTAAGTGACCGCCAATTAAAATGAGTTGGAAAAGAGCACGATTGAGATAATAACCAAAACACAGCACAAGCTAAAACATAGTTTGTGCACCTGGGACAACCTAGGACAATGAAAATAAAGCCATTTCAGGAGCAGTTAGCCTTTTTACTCTGGTTAATGGAACTCTGGTTTCCTGCACAAATGGAAGAATTTGTAATACATCCTTACCTATGTATGGAGATGCTAAGATGTTAGTGACTAAATGTATGTCTGCATGCATTCATGCAACTAGCTTTTCCCCTTGGGCCTCCCAGTCTAGTACCCCGCTCCCCCCACCCCCCCAGCAGCTGCATGTAACCTCCTTCAAGATCTCGCCCATTTTCTCAGAAACCCGCTTCAGGAACCTGCAGTCCAAGAGGAAAAAGAAAAGAACAAAGTTACTGAAGGCCTTTAGAAGACAGAGGAGCGTGCTCAGTTCTAAGAGGCCATTCTCGGTGGCTAGCCACCAGCCTTGTACTTAATGCCACAAACTCTCGTTAAAAATATGAGCCACGGCTTTTAGATTATATCTTTTTTTTTTCTTCCCTAGTAATCAAGTAGCGCAACGTAGTTTCCAGTCCTCAGCAATTTAACGGTGAGGGGAATTACTGTACATTTAAGACCTTGATTTCAAGCTAAACATGATGCAATTAAAAGACTTTGCTTACAGGCACAGATTCTGAATATAAAATCATTCCCTTTTCAGGAGCAGAGAGAGGTTTCAGTAAGACAGCAAGCATTACACTGGGGTCTCGTTTTTTGTGTGTGTTCAAGGGATCTAGAGTTAAAACAATGAAGTTGTGTCCCACACACCACATTCTACAAGTACTGAAAAGGAAGGAGAGAGGCAGGTCAGTGGACTTTCTGTCCTTCTTAATCATACTGTTTTTTCCTGAGTATTTTTGTTGAGCTTTCAGAATCAGAAAACATTTTCCTGTTTAAGAAGTGAAAGCTGCCAAGTATTTGCTAAGGAAGGAAATTAATAATTTTCAGTAACTGAGGTCAGTTAGTTATTAGAGGAAAAACCCTCTGTTTTAAGCATATAGTTAAGTCATAACAGTGGAAACAGTAAATCTTAAGAGATCTTTAAGTAGTTTTTCATTTCTCTATAAAATCAAAGTGTTTCTGTAGAAAAAGCAGCAATCCCGGTCTTTCTCGGTTTAATAGCTAAATTGGATTTAGTGCTTTGTAAAGCAGGAGCACTAGATCAGTTAAAGCAGAAGACGTTGGTCAAAATTACAGACCAGTGTAAGATGCATAATTTAATGTGGCCATCTCTGAACAAAGCTGTAGAAAACTCACATTGCAAACAACAGACCATTGCTGACCTCTGATACTCTAATGCTTTCCACGGACCTGTGTACCTTACTAATTTTCCCCAGGGAATGCGCAACTGAAAGCTGCCAGTTTACTGTTAGATATAGGTTACTGCACCTTTGCTGTTTTTCTCTAGCGTTACATCTATATATGATGTTGGCACATAGCCTTCCTCTCCATTATGTCTTCGAGCTCTTGTCCACCCATCTCCTTTGTCCTCCTCAATAATGTACAAAATTTCCCCTTCTTTCATTGCTAGAGTGCCTTCATTATGACCTGGGAAAACAAGAGGCAAAGAAGTCTCAATGTTCAGACAGAATTTCAAGTCATCTTTTTCCCAGGGCATAGTTTCCAGATTATATATAAACAGGAAGAACCAAAAATCTGTGCAAGAGAACATATGGTCAAACAGGCTTACAGACAAAAACCCAGTCCAATTTGTAAAGCTGAATATTTGCCACTAGCTGTGCTAATATTTATCTTAGAACAGCACAAAAGCACTGCTCATGAATTAAACTGATATTTCCACTGATCTTATAAGCAACTAGTTGCTCACACAGTTAATTAATTCAAATCATTTCCACCTGTCTTCTCCGTAACAAATAATCCATGCCTTACAGTCAAGTTGCCTTACGGTCAAGGACTGTTGTTAACCTTACCGTCAAACGGATATATCGCCTTGCAGTGTCCTATAGCGGGTAAGGGATCATCGTCTTCAAACTCATCATCAAACTCATTTGGATGTGCATGTTGCTGAGGTGGGCCTCGAACTTCCTGATTTGCATCATCCGTGTAACTCCCTTCGGGGCTATAATGCAAGGATTGGAGCGTGAGGACTCCGAAGAGCTCTTAGCTCTAAAACGCAGAACATTTGTGCGCCGCAGAAAGGGGCAGACCGTGGGTAGCGCTCTGGGAACGCCTGTTAGGAGCTTTTCTATTTACTGCTGAAGGTGATTTTCTGAAAGACGGATCTAACAAAGGCTTGGGCTGAGTCCTGGTACAAAACCAAACATAAATTTGACATACCTGTCTCTACACAAGATGGAAAACTGGGGAGCCTCATGCAATGGAATAGATCGCTTTAAAAGGCACTGCTATTTAATGAGTAGGTGTTTTAATTAGACTCGCTATTTTTTTATGTCACAATAATGACATGAAGTGACCTCAAGAATTCAGAACCAGTAAGA